AACCTCCATAGTCAACAAGAACACAAAAATTCATTCCCACTTCTTGATGCAATTATATGAAAAGCTTTTGTCCAAAGGAAAGCTTAATTTTAATATTTTGTCATTCACTAAGTCCAATCTCCGGTCCGTCCGTCCGTATAGCCGTCCTTTTCTGTATGTCTATAAAATTACATTTGTGCCGCGTCACGACAAAACCAACGTAATGCGTTTGCGACCAGCATGGATCCAGACCAGCCTGCGCATCAGTGCAGTCTGATCAGGATCCATGATGTTCGCTTACAAACCCTATAACAAGTAGAGAAACTGATAGCGAACAACGTGGATCCTGATCAGACTGCGCGGATACTGGTCGAAAACCCATTATGTTGGTTTTGTCATGACGCGGCTCATTTATTTCAATATTATCGTTTATATATCTCTGCTGCTGCTGCTGCTTGGTTTCATTTCATAAAAAAATCTGTTCGAAGAACATCCTCGGTTAAAGCATATTTCTTTTTTTTTTAATTTAAAAAAAGTCAGAATTATATAGGATCACAAAAATATGGCACTTTAATGTTTATTTCGTCATATCTTTACCTGAAACAAAATGAAAGTGACAGAACCAATAAAAGTAACGTTTATAATGAATACAAAGTATATTTTAATACAGGAAAAAATGGACGATATGCGACGCAAAGGCACACTCTCGCCGCAAAACGTAATAAGTACGATATGCACCACAAAACGTCCACATGTGTACGATATGCGCCGCTAAACGTCCACACGCGTACGTTTTGCGGTACGGACGTTTTGCGGTGTTACAACGGATGTTTAAAATTTTCAGTTTCACTATTATAATTTCACTACATTTTTGTTTAACCCATTACCCGAAATACACGCCTTTTACACCAACCTATTTGTTGTCCCAAATGGTGAAAAGATGCTTTATTTAGGCCCCTAACACTTGTTTTTGTTTGAGAAATGTTGCTTAAAAAGTGACAACTTTTTCGGCGCCGCCCCCATCGAAAAAATACATCAGGGGGAGTCCCCCTCATCGCTAACAAAATTTTGCACTTGTGAGAGGCTAAAAATGAGCCAAGGTCGATCATAAGGTAACGTGTAACCAACGCTGAAAAGCAAATCTATTGAACAGTTGCAGCACTTTGAAATTAATTTTGATAGAAAAAAAATCAACGCAAAATAATGAGTTTTAGCAATTTTGAGATGTCCCCTAGTTGCCATGGTAACAGGAAATTAAAGTCCAGTCAACATTTGTATTGAAGCATTTTTGATAGTTTTATAGCAATGTGAACTTGTAACTGGAGACTTTTCAATGAAAACAGCCATTTTTCACAAAATGCTCATGAAGTAATGGGTAAAATACTGTATTTTGCTTGGATGATGTTGTTAGAATCTTGCATATATCACTGCTGTCCAAAAATAGGAATAATCGAACCGAGCGTAAGTGTGCCATATTGTGTATTCTTAAAGCTTTCCATTTTTCATTCTATTTGCTTGTACGATTTTGAGCATATTTATTCTAAACAATGCTAGTCTGGCATAAGTTACAGGTGTGAATAGGGAAATAATACAATCCCTAAAGAACTTCCAATAAACAGTAAAATTGAAAATGTTGCAGACTTGGTTTGATTGAGCCTGTTCATGGATGGTACTGGATAGTGCAAACTACCGTCCACACCCCAAAGCATCTCCTCAAGGATAATTCAACCTTAAGCATGAAATAGTAAAATTTGAATTTTGAAACATTCGCAGATGTGTCAATACGGAGGTCATCATGGAAAACTCAAGGTGGCACTTTTCAGCCAGTACATTAAAAGTGGCGCATGGTCCCACAATTAACAAAATGTGTGTACCCTAATGAGAAAACAATGGGCGAAACATAAATTTGGCATTCTATAAGAAATATTTTTGTCTTATTTCGGCTTTCGATCCACCTAACCGGATTTTCCTGATAATAAAGTAGCAAATTTCGCAGCAAGTGACCCCTGTTTACCTCACACGATATTTGAATAAGCGATAAGAGATCTATTTTCAAAGAGAAATTTACTAAGCAAGCGACTCCTTGATTACTTACTAGTATCTAATGCTCTCTCATTGAGCTAGGCAGGCATACTACAGATGGACATAACGATTGACTTAATTATATGGCATTTATTAACCTTCTTTTGTTGTTGTTAGCATGCCCTAAATCTTTCTATGACAACTGTACTTGCATATTACATGCATAGCAAAAAACCTAAGCTCTCAGATTATATTGTATACATTTGGAAACATTGTCATAATTATAGTAAAGTTTACATCTTGAGGTCGTACAATATGAAATGGAGTGGTTGAAAGGAAATCAAATATTACCTAACATGATTCTTTATAATGGAGATCTGATGATGATGATCCATTTAATAAGCAGCATGTTTACGCATAATATTTCCAAAACCTATCAAAAGATTTACTTTATGTACAAATTATGACAATTGAGAATTATGACCTTAACAAGTTTGAACCAGAGACTTGATTATTTCTTGTTCGACCTTAAAATGCAACACATCTGTGAATCTCAGAATTGTTGACCAGACAAGAGTATCAACGCATGAAATAAAAAATTAGGAGTAACTTTGAGCAACACATCTTGTTTTGGCGTGATACACATCAGATCAATGTAAAAAAAAGTTATGCATAATTGTAAAAAAATCACCCATGAATGACAATGTCGCTGGAATGACAACGCCATCTATTAATCATATTATGAATATGGAAGTACAAGTGTGACTTGATTTTGAATATGACACATCGATATAATGTCAAAAAACATTTTTATTAAGTCATTTCAAAAATCCATCCAGGAATGGCATAATTATTGACATGGCCATCAGTGCACAATTTATGCAAAATATGCAAAGGTATGGACCTCACTCAAAGTAAGGAATATGGAAGAAGGGATGGCACTGTACAAATAATAATTCCTCTCAATTTTTTGTAGGGGAGGGGCATAAAATGATGCTTTTATTTTAAGTATTAATTTGAGTAATTTCTTTTGTGCAGAATGTATTATTGCATCTATACTTAAATTCATATATGTATTTAAATTGTGTTTTAAGTTTAATGTCCATTAAGGCTTAAATACCTTTTGCTATCCACTTTTGAAGTTTTCTATGACTGTGATTTTATTCATTATGATATTTGCACAACATTCATTAATAAATGCTCCTTTCATCAATGACAATAACCATTTCTCTTTTCTTTCATGTTAGATAATATAGTAGTCAAAGTTAAAATGATACTGATGATGTGTCAAGCAAAAATAAAGTTTATATTAAAATGTAATAAGATCGAATATCCATTTTACAAAGTTTGCTGGAAGAACATTATAAACAAATCTTTTCAAAAAAGTATTTATCCATACAATGTTTTTGTTTTCAAAACATATATAATGCCATCACATAATTGTTAAACATATATTATAAAACAAAAAAAGCAAGTTGATGAACATTATATTTAATGGTTTAGGTGTTAATTTTCCCCACCGAGTTTTTAAACTCTAAGATATATGATAAGGTAACTACTTTTAATCAACTGATAAAAGACAGACAACTATGACATAATTTCATTCTACGATATACCTTAAGGCAACAAAATCTCAAAAATGTGTTTCGGTACCATTTTTTGTGATAATTTTACATTGCGATGACATGATGTTTCTTTCTTTTTTAATGTAATACAATCTTTAATATTTCTGAACACAAAATTCAATTACATGATAAATACACTAAAATTGTAAAGTTTTAGAAGCTTAATAATTTTGAAGTTTTTTCTTCATTTTTTCCTCTTTCTTTCTCGGTTATTTTACCCCACCCACTTTTGAAGCTGTACTCATCTGTTATAAATGATCAGGTTATGGACTTTTATGCTTAACTTATCAAGAAATGTTCAAATGATAAAGAACATACAATTAAAACACAATTCCCTATACATTAAACTAAAATTACAATGTAAAGGCATGTTTTGGGAACATTGTCATTTTAGATATTTTTTTCGGTAATTTTACCCCAACCATTTTTGAAGCTCTACTATTACATCATAAATACTCAGATAATGATTTTTTATGCTTAACTTGTCTAGGTATGTTAAATTGATAAAATACACACAATTTCAATGCAATGCCATTTATATTCTTTTAATACGGAAAAACGAAAGTCGTCATATTGTCAAAAAATGCTATTTTTTACCACTTTTTTTGGTAAATTGATAGTGATAATTTTAAAATTTACCATAAAATTGTCATTTTTGCTTGATTGAATCATAAATTAGCCATATTGTATCTGATGTTGTGCAATTAAAACTACTTTGTACAAAATTCGTATGTAAAAATCAAGAAACAAAAATTATATGGTATTTTGTAATTTTTGGCGGCCATATTGGCGGCCATCTTGAATTTTCATATTTTTGCCGGGGCTGCGTAACTTACGAAATGGGTTTTTAGAAACTACAGACAATATACTTTAAAAACGGCAATGTTTTTTATGTGATACGGTAAATTGCAATAAAACCCCGCCATCTCTTGGACTACACCTTTAATGATAGCTCTTGTTAGATGAGTAAACAGCTCTAAGATTATTAATGAGCGAGCTCAATTAAATAAAATGACCTCCTTATTTGATCTTGCCATTATGAAAGCAATAAACCAAAATAAAAAAAATATATATATAATTATAAGAAACTCGTAAATATAGTTCTATGTAGGTTAAGTTTGTTAATCCATTTCGGCCGATTTTCATTTCAAGAAATTCGTCCTTAAAGATTTTTCTTTATTCTTATTTGCAGATTATTTCATTTTAAGTGCTCCGTTTGAATTTTGTTAGATTAAAGCTAAAATAGACTAAATTAAACTATTCTCAACTAGATTTAATTAAATTAAACTAAACTAACTACCTTAATTCAACTCAACTTAGCTCAACTTTCAACATGTACATATATACATACATGTATATTGTTTGCCATTTCAGGGTTGTTAAGGTACTGGAAACTCAGTCAAACGCTATTGCGGGATGCGCAAGTCAAGGTGGATTCCTGTCTCGCGTGAAAACCGTGGCCAAGATGAACATGCTTCTAGATCTTGTCAGGAATTGTACAGGTATAATAAACCATATTCTGACGTTTAATTGAGTATATACAATGTCCATTTCCAGACAATAATTATCCGCCATATGTCATCAGTTTTCGCGTTGTAGGATTTGTATGAAATGTTGGACCGGTAACTATCGTCAAAGTTATCGCCTTGGTCAATATGACATTAACAGGTGAATATCGCTTCATATTCAATGGCTCACAAGTCAATAATTGTGTAAGACCAATCCATTTTATCGTTGTCAGACATTTTTATCTTTGTCAGTGTCAAACATTTTATCGTTGTCAGAGTCAGACATTTTTATCGTTGTCAGACATGTTTGTCGTTGTCAGACAATTTTGTCGTTGTCAGACATTTTTAATCGTTGTCAGACAATTTTATCGTTGTCAGACATTTTTATCGTTGTCAGGCATTTTTATCGTTGTCAGAGTCAGACATTTTTATCGCTGTTAGACAATTTTATCGTTGTCATACAATTTTTCTTTGTCAGACATTTTTATCGAAAATTGACTGTATTTTGATTTTCAGTTTGATATTTACCTACTAAATCCAATAGAGTTAGGGGAAGTAATAATATTGAATCAGAGCTTGAAAGAAACACTTCAATCAACTCCCTTGATACAGAAATGATTCAAGAAATATACATATAAGGGCACATGGTTTTGTTTATGTGTTAAATGCAACTTAAGACATGTTTTTTTTATTGTAGCTTTTCAGTATAAAAAATGAGATTTCTTTAGCTTAAAGACAAGTATTACTGATAGCCTTTGAGTTAAAGATAGTTGAAGACTTTTGGGTTTATGATATTGATATAGATGATTCTTTATTTCTTTAATTTAAAGATATTGATCATTTCGTTTTTTCGGTTAAAGATGGTTTGAGATAATTGACACATTTTATCCTTTGTCTTTAAGATAGTTGACACCTTTTGTTCTTTCAGTTTAAGATAGTTGACATTTTTTGTCCTTTGAATTTGAGATAGTTGATACTTTTTGTACTTTGAGTTTAAGATAGTTGATACTTTTTGTCCTTCGAACTTGAGATAGTTGACACTTTTTTATTTTGTTTATTAGATAGTTGACACTTTTTGTTCTTTGAGTTAATAAGACTAAGATAGTGGAAACTTTCGTCCTTTGATTTTTCAAAGGTTTACACCTTTTATCCTTTGAGTTAATTCGTTTAAGATTGTTGATACTTCCATCCTTCGAATTTAATATTCTAAGATTATCGACACTTTTCGTCCTTTGAGTTAAAGATAATTATGTAGTTGGTTGATTCTTCTGCCCTTTAAGTTTAAGACAGTTGATTCTGTCGTTCTTTTAGTTTAAGACCCACTTGACATTTTTCGTCATTTGATTATTTGAGTGTAAGATATTAAGATAGTTGATACTTTATGTCCTTTGAGTTTAAAGTTGTTGACTGTTTTCGTCCTCTGAGTTTAAGACACTCTTGATACATGTACTTCACGTTTGACTGAATGATAAGGGACTCTTAACGGCTATTGAGTATAATTATTGATCAGAATTTACGTGATTTGTGTCCAATATATGAATAAGTGACTTTTCTATATTTATGTTAAAGGGCAATTGAGACTTTTATCCCCTTCATGGTTGAAAATATTTGAGATATTCCATTCTTTAATATTCAGGATTTAAGAAATAGGTAAAATAATTCGTCTTTTCATTCTTTTTTTAAAGTTTGTTAGTCCATAGTGTTTTAAAACAACTATAGAAATAGGCCTATTAAGCAGTTTGTTTGGAACAAAGCCTCAGTCGACTATAAAGTAGTGATCAATTTTCATTTCACAGGTTACAGTGGAGAAGAGTATTATGTTGATGGAAGCAACGCTAGTGCTGATGATTGGTATGCCCCGGGAGCCTGGACGTTTGTTGATGGAGAACCTGTACCCATGACGAGTGACTTTTGGGGATCAACCTATCCAAATGATCCACACGTTCAACATTGCTTACGCATGCAAATGAGCGCTGCAAATTACAAGTTTGATGACATAAGCTGTACTGAACAACGCTACTATATTTGTGAAAAATAGACACGTGGCGGTCTAGAGCGTTACTATATTTTTGAAACACGTGACTATCCTTACTAGTGCATGCTCTTAAAAAAGACAGATAATTCTAATTATTAGCGTTACTACACTTTAATAAAGAAACAAGACGAAAGAATTTTGATCTTATAATGTTAACATGTACATCCTTTTAAAAATACAAATTCAAAAGTCATCTTATGAACAGTATTTAATTTTTTTATTATTTTTTTTATTATGTTTTTACATATTTCGGCTTAGGATTTTAAATTATTTGCTAATATCTTTTTACAATTTTTAATCCTAGCTGTAAACAGGAGTGTCATTAAATCAAGATTTGACTGTGATTAAGAGGTTAATACACGGCAGGAGAGGGCCGGAAGGTGATAATCGGCCCGCAAAATTAGTACTTTTAAACCTAATAATATTTAGGTCTGCCTGTCTATGTCATGCCGCCAAGGATCACAATGGAAATAAGGGCTTGCCCTTTTTTGTGTTATCCCTGGTGTTGGTGAGCATGTCATAGTTTTCTCGTATGTGATATAGTATTTAATAATGCTTTTTTTATCCTATGTTATGTTGTGAACTATGTATAGACCCCTATGTTGCATTTCGCGCCTGGCATTCTGCGTAGGGCAAACGCGCAATAACGATAGCATACATTTAGCGCACTTAAAAGTCTTTAAAAGGCGTGATTTCAAGTTATGTCACCCAGAAAAAAAGAAATTTTGGGATGAATTAAAGCGGTAAGTACTTAAAACGTGAATTGATATTTATAGCAGATATACAAAATTAGCGGAAGCTTCAAAGGGTCACCTCTTACGCGATCTTTTGTGAGAAGATTTACGCAAGTGGAAAAATTTAAGGCGCAAAGGCATGATATTGTCAGTGTTTTTCGCAAAAAATGATTCGAATAAACGAGAAAATTCTAGCTAATTGGCCAAATGTTTTGTTGCATAAAACAGAAACATTGCACATGACGAATAATATTTTGACGAGAAATTAATAAAAGGTCTTTTTCGAAAAACATGTAGACGCAATACGTGATACATTTCACTTTCTCGAAAAAAATTATGACGCAATACCTATTACATTACACCTTGTCGCAAAAACTTTTGATGCATTTCTTTAAAACATTTCATTTGATGAAAATATTTTTTGCGCAATTCCTAAAGTGTAGTCTGGTTTTCGTTTGATTCTTGTCGAAAAATTCTATATATTGATATACACAACCGCGGTAATCTTGCACGACCGTAGGGAGTGCTATATTACCCGCGTGAGAATAAGTGCATATATTAGCATACATGATAAATAACCCTTTTATTAAATACTTATTTCAAAATTGTATACTGAGTTAACAACAAAACCTTCATTGTTGAAATATTTTTTAAAATGGCTTTTAATGATTGATTCAATATCCAGCTAACATGACATTAAAGTAATTATGATGATGGCGTGAACCTCAACGCGTTCATTTGATAACAACATTCATGTTTTGAGTTGTGTGTAATGTCTCTGGACACAAAGTACATCTAACACAACGGATATAACTTGATTACACACCGTATATTATAAGTTATTGTTGACAGGTTATATGGCCCTATATAAACGGTTGTCTGTATATATAACACGAGCCGCCAGGTGAGGGTTATGTTGCAAACAACCATTTATATTCGGTCAAATAACATGACAACAATCTTTATAACTAATTTATAATACTTTATAATACTGCAAACGTCCTCTTATTAGAGAAAAAAGTGAGATTTCTTTATACATTGAAACAAAACTATATAAACGTCACGATTATCCAATGAAAAGCGATGTTACAAACGTGCAGTATTATAACGAAACAAATATTAAATATTGTGACAATCAGAAGTCAACTGAGCTTTTTAAAGGCATGTTATAATGATTGTTAGTGCCCAAGAAGGAATGTATATTTAAATTAACCTTCCTGTCCGTCCAAACGGAATCTTAATGGCGAAAAAATGAGAAATTTGAAATCAAAAATAATAACCACAAAGCCTTTGTTTACTATCTGGCTGAATAATTTCTTGATTTCTGGTTACATACATAAATCATTATGTTTTCTTGATCAATCTTAGTTTCAGTATTGATTGTCTTATAAATTGTTTTAATGAAACTATCTTATGGATTTAATATATCATTTCATATCTACATAAAGAAAATACGTGAATTACCGAAGCCATTATTTTTGTTACACCCCTTTACTGTTTTTACTTTACATAGTTCGTACAAAATATAAAACTTGGTGATTTTCAGACTATTTAAGCATGCACATTTTCTATTTGGTTGTCTACTTTGCCTGTTTTCAAAATCAAATGTATTAGTGGACTTTAATTTAACCGGGTAAAACTTGTTTGAAACTACTTGCAAATGGGTGAATACCAAAAATATGAATTACAATTCAAAATTACTGTGAGTCTGTAAAGACCTTTAATACTAGATTTTTTAAATCAGTTTCACGGAGCTAGTAATCAGTATATTGCTTTTAGTATTTTTGTCCAACTACTTGCCTCTCACCTTTGGGTTCGAATCCCGCAAGATACTTCAATCGTTCCCGTTCGTGCTTAAAATAATGTATGGAGTGGTACCTGAGGTCTTTCTTCCCCAGTAAAACTGAAAAGTCACAATTTATGTTCCTGACGTAAAATCCGACAAAAATATATTTGTATCAGACTTGTTCTTTGTATATATTGTTGTAAGTACTAGCGTTATACAATTAGAATAACAATTTGGTTATTTTTAGGTTATAGAAATTTATTTTAGTTCTGTCGTTTTGGAAGTTCGATGCGTGATAAGACATTGGAACTGAAAACCTACCAGTACTAATTAATGATTGTAAAATTATTCGCTAACAGTAAAACGACTTGCCACTGACTGGGTTTGAACCCACGTGGCCAGCAATCGTTAGATTACTAGTTTGACGAGTTAATCACTGGACCATACCACATCTAACTTGATTATTTTAAATGACGCACATTCATGTGTTCGATAAGATTAAGACCCAATAAAACAATTAATAATTAAAATTTGGTCATCTACGGTACGTGTACGCGTGTGTGTACATGTGTGTGCGTTTATGTATAATTGTGTTTGTTTAAATTGCTTTTGGTAACCGGCAAAAAACATGAGATCACTTCCATTTCCTTTCTGCAGGCCTTATCATTTGCCACGGCATACTGAATAACGCAATAGAATATGACCTAAAAGTCCGTGACCATCTACATTCTTGCCAATGCTTGAACTCCACCTATATACCTTATGACCAAATGGCTAAAAAATGATATCAATGTCATTCATTATAGATGTTTATGATTTATGAACTTCAATTTTTCCAACTAGTGTTTAATATAAAATATTTGATAAAGATTTGCTACGCAAAATACACTAGTTAATATACACTAGTTTACATACGTCTGGCATATCAGCGAGGAATTCGGGCGATACCCTTTAATAACCGCGATACAATGCGATACCTTGAACTTTTTTTTCTAAAACACATTCACCCCTTCAGACTACATACCGACAAAGTCTTGCAGAAATGGGATGCATAATATAACCGGTGGAGATCTTCTATCTACATGTACTTTAGTTAGAACTTTTGAAAACAAGTTTTTTTTTACATTGAATTGCTACTGAAATCCATGCTAAAACCACTGAAAATGCGGTTGAATTTGTTTGTGTTGAATTAACGCGCAACAATTTCCTATTACATCGCTATTACATCGCTTGTTGCCATTCAAAAAATACGAACCAAAGTAATTAGAATCATATAATATTATTATTAACATTTGAGTATCATCTTGTATAATCATCAGCCTGCCAGGTTTGACCAATAAGTAAAGTGTCTGGCATTCTCCTTCGCTTTTTCCTAGATGATTTAGGTGAAGTTCAAAAGCATATTAAATTGGCGATAAAACGCATTTGTATTTTTTTTCATTTAGCAACCCAGATGTGGGTTCAAGCTAGAAGATTGTCCCAGAAAGATTCAATTAAAATTTAGATCAGTATTTTTATACTGCGTGTCAGCCTTTCATCTACAAAACATGTTTTATAGACCTGTATTATAGGTATTATACTATCTAGGTATCACAATTGGATTAGTTTTATAATTTCATTGATGTAAACAAATCTGATTAGCTTTTCGATCTTCTTTTTTTTCTTTTCTTTCATAGGCAGTAAAAAATAATTATTATGACCAGTTTAATATGCTTTTCATGACCAGTTTAATATGCTTTTGAACTTCACCTTAATCATATAACGGCGCCACAATGTCCGGCGTCCGTCCGTTTGTGAGTCAACAGAACTGCTGAGCCAATTTCATCCAAATTTTACAGGTATGTTTTTGCTATAAATCTCTGCCAAATTTGCTCAAAGAATTGATTGAATACTATGCAGAACTCTGATTACCATGGCAACCAATAGCAAAAATCTTAAAACCTTCAAAGATCTGGAGCTTAGATATTTGATATGTCGCATTGTCTGGTAGACCTCTACGAAGGTTTGTCAAATCATGTCTCTGAGAGTCAAATGAGCCCCACATTGGGGTGTCTTAGTTTTGACATAGAGTTGTTAAGGGAAAATTCAAAACTCTTTTTTTACAGAACCAAAAGAGCTGCAGTTTAGATTTCTGATATGTAGCACTGTCAGGTGGACCTCTACCAAGTTTGTTCAAATCATGACCCTTGGAGTTAAAGGGTCCCCACTTGGGGTCACTTAGTAAGTTTATAGACTTATACAGGACAAACGTCAAGTATTTATTCTCCAGAACAAGAGGACCAGGGTGTAGCATTTTCTAGTTGACGTCTATTATACGTTTGTTCAAAACATGATCCTTTGGGTCAAACTGACCACACCCGAGAGACACATATTTCCGAAAGGAATTTTAATAAAAAATTGTCCACTTCATCATGAAAGGAGCTACAGCTAAGATATTTGATAAGAGTTTCTTTGCAAAGTAAATCTCTGTTAAGATTGTTCACATCATGGCCCGATGGGCAAAAATGACCACACCACAGACCGCTGTCTTCTGAAAACTTCAACATTTGTCATAATCTTGGCACACCTCTACTCCCTAGACTTGATATTTGCACACAACATCCCTATGGACAAAACCTTGAAAATAATCCATATAAAGGTGACCCTCTTGACTTTAAATAATCTTGACCAGCACTGTCAACATTTTAAATTTACAAATATCTTAGATATTAATTTATATATTTTAGTCTTACTTGAACAAAACAATCTTAATGAGACCTCTATAGGGAGTAATATAAATCTGGTATTGGCCCTTATATGACTTGAATCAGCCAGGTAAGCGATACAGGGCCATCATGGCCCTT